TTATCTACTAAAACTGTTGCATCATGGGCCAGGTCACTGGGTGTTCATTTCACAGGCCTGTCTATCTTGTTCTCTGGTATTTGCTTCTCTGATTGGCACCTTTTGTCTTCGCTCCTGTCAGATAACTCTGGCCTGTGCTACTTCAGGAAGCAGCACCATCTGCCTCTCTTCAACCTTTCAGGATATTTTAAAATCCTTTTTGACTAATAAATTGTGTTTCAGACTATAGTGTACATGGAAGTATGATATAAGTAAGATGCATAACAGCTGCCGTCGTTCTTCATCAAGCCTCAGGTATAAAACAGTAGGAATGACCTTTAAAGATCCTTTCTGAATAAAATCTTTTTTTTATAAATAACTTATGCCCAATTTTTATTAGTAGCATTTGTCTGTTACAGATTTGTCTCACTGATGCTGTTGTCATTATATTATTGTTACTTCTGTACTTGTCTTGCCTCTTGATTTTTCATCTCTCCTGGATGCTCACGTCCTCCTGGGGTGAGGTTTTAAAAGATTTAGTAAAACATTTTCAATACTAAGTAACTACAGTTAGGTTTCTATAAACATATTTATGCGATCACAGGACAGCATTCCTTCCACCCGCACGTCTTATGCAAACCATTCTCACACATTCAATTTCAAAACCATGTGTTTTATTTACAGTGTTCTATACAAGTGCTTGCTCTCCATAACATAAATCTTCCCCTTCACCCCAAACACTGCAGGAAGAGTACAGGTTGAACCTTTCTATTTCAGCACTCTCTGGTCCCGAAACATCGTGGTCTGGCATGATTTTAGTTAGCCAGATGTTCACATATCATGGGTGTGGCCAAGTTCCCGGGGTCCCATAAAGTTTGTTTACAGCTACTAGTCTTGACTCTCAGTGTTCTGTGCTGTTATTTAGCTCTAATTTACCACTAAATAACTTGTAAGAGCCCAGTAAGCAGTGGAAGTGGTGTTAATATTGCTAGATAATACTGACCTCCCATGGTTTGGCAAATTCTCTGGTTCGGCACCGGTCAGGTCCCAAGGGTGCCAAACTAAAGAGGTTCAATCTGTAGCAAGAACTCTAATTTCCCTGAAATCTCGGGATTCTCTGGCTCTTTCTTCTACTCTCTCTTGTCCTTTCCTGGCTATCTTTTGTGCTTAGTTGAGGCGCTGACTCACCTTAATTGGTTAATTACCTGGTGATCAATGAATTACCTTTTCAATTTGGCCCATGTGGGACACTTATGAAGTGCATACGGAGATGAGTCAGCCTTAAGATACTCATATTCTGTTACAGGCAAAGAAGTCATATCCTTTTCAAAAGTTGTTGCTGAGGTCAATTCCCCAGTCAGTGAGACTAAGCCTTCCAAAGTCGTATTATGTTCGTCACTTTCACCACTCTGCATTCCCAGAGGATATGAGTTAATGAAGTCAAAGGGAGTTCTGCCGTGGGAGACAGGTGTCACTAGATGTAAAGTTCTCATTAGTTTCAAAGGAAATTTGAAATGCAAAGGACTTACAGGAAGTAGTCTGTATTATCTGTT